ATACATCCCATTATACATTGTATCATTATATACATCCTATTATACATTGTATCATTATATACATCCTATTATACATTGTATCATTATATACATCCTATTGTACATTGTATCATTATATACATCCTATTATACATTGTATCATTATATACATTCCATTATACATTGTATCATTATATACATTCTATTATACGTTGTATCATTATATACACATCCTATTATACATTGTATCATTATATACATCCCCATTATACATTGTATCATTATATACATCCCATTATACATTGTATCATTATATACATCCTATTATACATTGTATCATTATATACATCCTATTATACATTGTATCATTATATACATTCTATTATACATTGTATCATTATATACATCCTATTATACATTGTATCATTATATACATTCCATTATACATTGTATCATTATATACATTCCATTATACGTTGTATCATTATATACATCCTATTATACATTGTATCATTATATACATCCCATTATACATTGTATCATTATATACATCCCATTATACATTGTATCATTATATACATCCTATTATACATTGTATCATTATATACATCCTATTATACATTGTATCATTATATACATTCTATTATACATTGTATCATTATATACATCCTATTATACATTGTATCATTATATACATTCCATTATACATTGTATCATTATATACATTCTATTATACGTTGTATCATTATATACATCCTATTATACATTGTATCATTATATACATCCTATTATACATTGTATCATTATATACATCCCATTATACATTGTATCATTATATACATTCTTTTATACATTGTATCATTATATACTTTCTATTATACATTGTATCATTATATACATCCTATTATACATTGTATCATTATATACATTCTATTATACATTGTATCATTATATACATTCTATTATACATTGTATCATTATATATACATCCTATTATACATTGTATCATTATATACATTGTATCATTATATACATCCTATTATACATTGTATCATTATATACATTCTATTATACATTGTATCTCTCTAACTCCTGGCATAGAGGGGAAAAAATAAATAGATAAATATTAAAAGTTAAAGAAAAAATACCTCGATGAATGTTTGCTGTAGCTCAGCGCCAGGGTAAGTGTTTGGGTCAGGGTCTGGGTCAGGATCAGGGTCGGTTTTTTTTTTTAGGTAAACACAAAATGCGCACTGACGTTTCTGGGCTGTACTCCGGGGACAGACAACAAAGATGGTATCGCTGTGATCGTCAAGAGCTGAAGAATTTATTTTGAGTTGTTGTTCTTTGGTGGTAACAAGAAACACACAGCTAAGTTAAAAAAATATATTTTTTTACTATTTTGGGCCAGTTTTCCTTTGATAATAAAAAAAAAAAAATCAGGAGATCTCCATTCCCATTTACCACCAAATGAAAGCCCAATTTGTCCTGGAAAAAAAAAAAAAACCGCTGTATAATCCACCCGAATGTACAAAGTAGTTGTGATGATATGGACCAGGGGCGGACTGACCATTCGTGCACACGGGCACTGCCCGAGGGCACAGGCTCAGTACGGGGCCCCATGAGATGCCCCTGGTACCTTTCATAGGCTTTTTTGGGTGTGGTTTGAGTGTGGGCGAGGACACAGGGGCCCCATGATCCCCTATTGCCCGGGGGCCCCATGAGTTGTCAGTCCGCCCCTGATATGAATGGTTTTACTAACACGTGTCAACGTTGCAAAATTGTGCTTAGGCATTTAGATTTGTTTTGCCCTCAGGCGTGAAGGGGTTAAGTATCCTGGTTTGGAGTCGTTCCATGAGCATGCGCAATTTTAAAGTGTGACATGTTGGGTATCTATTTACTCGGCGTAACGTCATCTTTTATATTTTACCAAACAATTGGATATTCTATTGTTTTTGTGCATTAAAATTCGATAAAAGTGTGTTTTTTTTCTTTCCAAAACTGGTGAAATACCATGTGACATAAAAAAAAAAGATGCAAAACCCACCATTTTTATTCTCCAGAGCAGAGGTGTCCAAAGTACGGCCCTCCAGGTGTTGAGGAACTGCAAGTCCCATGAGGCCTTGCAAGACTCTGACATCCACAGGCAAGACACCCAGAGGCATCATGGGACTTGTAGTACCTCAACAGCTGGAGGGCCATAGTTTGGAGACCCGTGTTCTAGAGCCTTTGCTGAAAAATATACATAATGTTTGGGGGTTGTAAGTTTTTTTTTAGCGAAAAATTTTTTTTTTGACCTGTAGGAGGGGAATGTCAGAATTGACCCGGAGTGGAAGTGGGTTTATCCGGTACAATGGACCTTGGGAATGTTTTGGATGGTCTTGGTACAGCCCACATGGGCTAAGGAACCCCCTCTCCCTGGTGGTATTGACCCAGGGGGTGTTTGATGTGGGTGAAGGTCCCCTGTCAGTGGTGGGACTGGGCTCTAGTGTTGGTCCTTGAGGCCCCGGGACCTGGTTGTTGGAGATGCCTGGGGGAATCTATGCACGGTCCTTTGGTCCTCCTGGACTTGTTAGCTGATTTTTTAGTTTTTTGGGGGGTTTTTTGTATCTTTAATCACTTCCAGTGCAGTGACGCACCCGTACGTTGTTGGACTTTCCGTGGTTGAACCCTTTTTTAGAGCCGGCACTTGGCTCTTTTGCACAAGCAATCTGAGGGACTACTATTGCTTGGAGGTGAGGTCCTCCCTCCCACCGCTCTCTCTGGACCTCCTGTCCTTCCAGGAGTCCCGAGCGACCACCCTACGCGGCTGGCAGGACAGTCGAACAAAGCCGGAATTAGCTTTGATTGGTTGTCCTTCATTGTAAACCAGAAGTGATGAGCTGACATCACTTCCAGTTTACTCGAAAACTTTCGGCGCCATTTTTTAAAAAAATCTAAAAAAAAAAAAAAAACACAGATCTTGGTGCTTCTGAATGCTTTCCAGTGCAGAGGAGGGATTTGGGGTCCCTCCATAAAAATACTTGTTACGTGTCTATTGCTGACTCCGGGGATGTCTACGTTCCTTGTGACAGCAATAAGTGATCCCAAAAAAAAATATGTATGTATGTATGTATGTATATATATATAATATAAAATTATATATACAGTGGGGATCGAAGGTTTGGGCACCCCAGCTAAAAATTTGTATTAATGTGCATAAAGAAGCCAAGGAAAGATGGAAAAATCTCCAAAAGGCATCAAATTACAGATTAGACATTCTTATAATATGTCAACAAAAGTTAGATTTTATTTCCATCATTTACACTTTCAATATAACAGAAAACAAAAAAAATGGCGTCTGCAAAAGTTTGGGCCCCCTGCAGAATTTATAGCATGCACTGCCCCCTTTGCCAAGCTGAGACCTGCCAGTGTCATGGATTGTTCTCAATCATCATCTCGGGAAGACCAGGTGATGTCAATCTCAAAGGTTTTAAATGCCCTGACTCATCTGACCTTGCCCCAACAATCAGCACCATGGGTTCTTCTAAGCAGTTGTCTAGAAAACTGAAACTGAAAATAGTTGACGCTCACAAAGCTGGAGAAGGCTATAAGAAGATAGCAAAGCGTTTTCAGATGTCAATATCCTCTGTTCGGAATGTCATTAAGAAATGGCAGTCATCAGAACAGTGGAAGTTAAAGCAAGATCTGGAAGACCAAGAAAAATATCAGACAGAACAGCTCGCAGGATTGTGAGAAAAACAATTCAAAACCCACGTTTGACTGCACGATCCCTCCAGAAAGATCTGGCAGACACTGGAGTTGTGGTCCCTATTCCACTATAAAGAGATACTTGTACAAATATGGTCTTCATGGAAGAGTCATCAGAAGAAAACCTCTTCTACGTCCTCACCACAAAAATCATCGTTTGAACTTTGCAAATGAACATATAGACAACCTGATGCATTTTGGAAACAAGTTCTGTGGACCGATGAGGTTAAAATTGAACTTTTTGGCAGGAATGAGCAAAGGTACGTTTGGAGAAGAAGGGGCACAGAATTTAATGAAAAGAACCTCTGTCCAACTGTTAAGCATGGGGTTGGATCAATCATGCTTTGGGGTTGTGTTGCAGCCAGTGGCACAGGGAACATCTCACGAGTAGAAGGAAAAATGGATTCAATAAAATTTCAGCAAATTTTGGGTGGTAACTTGATGCCATCTGTGAAAAAAATCTGAAGTTAAAGAGAGGATGGCTTCTACAAATGGATAATGATCCTAAACACAGCTCGAAATCCACGGGGGATTACATCAAGAGGCGTAAACTGAAGGTTTTGCCATGGCCTTCACAATCTCCTGACCTCAACATCATTGAAAATCTATGGATAGACCTTAAAAGAGCCGTGCGTGACAGACAGCCCAGAAATCTCAAAGAACTGGAAGACTTTTGTAAGGAAGAATGGGCAAAGATACCTCAAACAAGAACTGAAAGACTCTTGGCTGGCTACAAAAAGCGTTTACAAGCTGTGATACTTGCCAAAGGGGGCAGTACAAGATATTAACTCTGCAGGGGGCCCAAACTTTTGCAGACGCCATTTTTTTGTTTTCTGTTATTTTGAAAGTGTAAATGATGGAAATAAAATCTAACTTTTGTTGACATATTATAAGAATGTCTAATCTGTAATTTGATGCCTTTTGGAGATTTTTCCATCTTTCCTTGGCTTCTTTATGCACATTAATACAAATTTTCAGCTGGGGTGCCCAAACTTTCCATCCCCACTGTATATTCTCCTCTCTCTCTCTCTCTATATATATATATTTATAAAGTGACAATGGAAAAAAAAAAAATAAAATAAAGAGTGTGTGTATGTATATATATATATGCTTTCAAAAAAATGTTTGGGGGTTCTAAGACAATTTTTTTTTTTTTTTAGCAAAAAATAACTTATTTTAAAATGTAAACAAAAAAAAGTGCGTGAAATGGCTCGGGACTGAAGTTTAATGTCTTTTGCTGATAAAAATTATTTTGTGTATTTTTTTAGCAGACGGAGTGCTGGATCTGTCCACTAAGAAAAGTCCATGTTCCGGTAGCACACACTCAAGCATTTCTCCAAGTACCTCAAACGCTATAGGGAATGGGTAAGATCATTCTTCATCTCATCCTATTTTTAAAAATTTTTATTTCCTATTCTTCAGTTGCATCTTAAATCTGTTTTTTTTTTTTATTTTTTATTTTTTTTTTTTTGTTTTTTTTTTTTTTTTTTTTTTTTTTTTTTTTTTTTCAAAGCCAAAATGATTTACGCCTTCCACTCTTTGGAATGAGATTTGTCTCCAAAATTGACAATTCACAACCTGCCATTGTGAAGTAAAAATCAAAATTTATTGTGCTGTGCTCATGATCTCATTTTGTTTTCATTCATTGTCTGAAATATATATATATATATATAATTTTTTTTTTTGTACGAATGCTTAGTTTGGAATAATATCAGGTTTCCTAATATCGGAGGGAAAGGTGTGGATTTTTGAGGAGGAGCTGAATATTTTAGTTTGATGCCTGAGAATTTGTACTCTAGAGCCGTCATCCGTCACAAAGCTTTAAAGAAAACAGTTTCGATTTTTTTTTTTTTGTTTGTTTCCTTTGTTATGAAGCGTGTAATTTAACAAAAAAAAAAAAACGGATTTGTGTTTCTGGTCTTGTTTTCTATATTTTGATCATTTCGGGAGTTTCAGTCTTTTTGTTAGTTCAGTGCCGCCATGTTCTCGTTACTATTATCCGTTTCTTTTTAAACAAAAAAAAAAAAATTTTTTTTTTTAATGTATTTTTTTTCTTTTAAAGCGGAACTACACGGCATCTGAGCACCACAAAAAAAAAAACCCCCCGCTATTTAATTCATTTTTAATATTTAACTCCCCTATCCATGTGTGTCTCCATGTTTTATTTTGCTGAGAAATCACTTTGAACCCCCTCCCCCCCCCCCCCCTTTAGCATTTCTGGCTGTGGCCATCTTGAGTCAGGGCAGATCATTTGTGTAGCATTTACTACCTGGAATCTATCTGCCTTTAGCTCAGGCACACAGGGAGGTGTGATTAGCTGAGAGAGCGCCTTCTGAAGACGTATGGGATGTATGACATTATTTTGGCCTAGACCAGAGACCAGGAAGTAACTGAAGAAATGTTTAAAAAATAAAAAATTAAATATGATATACTTTCCTTTTTATGATATATTTTCCTATTTATTTACTAGGATTAAAAAAAAAATTAAATATCATATACTTTCCTATTTATATATACTTTCCTATTTACTAGGATTAAAAAAAAAAAATGAAATATGATATATTTTCCTATTTATGATCTATTTTCTTTTTATTTACTAGGATTTAAAAAAAAAAAAATAATAATAAATATTTATATTTTCCTATTTATTATATACTTTCCTTTTTATTTACTATGATTAAAAAATTATAATAATAAATATTTTTATTTTCCTATTTATATAAACTTTCCCTTTTTATTTATAGGATTAAAAAAAATAAATGTGGTATATTTTCCTAATTATGAGATACTTTAACTATTTATTTTACTAGGATTAAAAAAAAAATAATTATTTAATTTTTATTTATGATAATTTTTTTATTTATTTATAGAATTATTTTTTAATAATAATAATTAAATATTATTTATTTTTAATTTTTTATTATTAAAATAATATTTTTTTTACCAGGATTAAAAAAAATAATAATTTAAATATGATTTTTTTAATTATGATATACTTAACTATTTTTTTATAGGATTAAAAAAAAAATTATAATTTAAATATGATTTTTTTCCTATTTATGATAAACTTTTTTTTTATTTATAGGATTAAAAAAAATAAATGTGGTATATTTTCCTAATTATGAGATACTTAACTATTTATTTACTAGGATTAAAAAAATAAATATAATATAATTTTTTTATTTTTTATACACTTTCCTATTTATTTACTAGAATTAAAAAATTATAATAATAAATATGATATATTTTCCTAATCATGATATACTTAATATTTATTATTTACTATTTTTAAAAAAAAAAATAATATTAAATATATATATTTTTTAATCATAATACACTTAACTATTTTATTTATAGGATTAAAAAAAAAATTTTAAAAAATAAAAATATTATATTTTTTATAATTATGATTATTTTTTTATTTTATTTTACTAGAATTAAAAAAAATTATTATTAATAATACATATGATATATTTTCCTAATCATGATATATATATTAACTATTTATTTACTAGGAGTTAAAAAAATAAATAAATATTATTTTCCTATTTTTTTTATTAGGATAAAAAAAAATAAAAAATGATATATTTTCCTATTTATGATATACTTTCCTATTTATTTACTAAATTTTAAAAATAATAATATATATATTATTTTTTTAATTTTGATATACTTAACTATTATTTATAGGATTTAAAAATAAATAAATAAATATGATATATTTTCCTAATCATTTATATTTACTTGCCTATTTATTTATAAATTATTTTAAAAAAAAATAATAATACATATTTATTTTTTAAATCATTATATTTTTTTTTTTATTTATTTATTAGGATTAAAAAAAAAAAAAAATAAATATGATATTATTTTTTTTATGATATACTTTCCTGTTTATATATAGGATTAAAAAAATAATAATAAATATGATATATTTTCCTAATTGAGAGAGTGAAGTTCCGCTTTAACGGAGACTCCAAAACTGGCGTTGTTATGCAGGCCATAGATGGGTCGAAAACCGTCCGTTTTTAAAAAAAAAAAATGAAAAAAATTGGTCGTTCAATAGGCCGACGTTACCACCCAACGTAAAAAAAAAATTGGCCCGATTTTCGTCCCGTCTGCAGCCGGCATTTAATGACTTCTGTCCCCTGCAGAGAGCTCCGCTATTATATTTTATATGAAAGTCTTGCAGTTGCAACATTGTATCCATTTTTATCCATTTCGGATACAGATGGTTTTATTCGGATACAAATGGATACATTTGTTGCAACCGCAAGACTTTCATATAAAATATAATAGCGGACTGGAATTCTTCTTCTTCTTCTTCATCATCACGGCTCATGCGCAGATTTTTTATCGGTAAAAAGATTTGCCCATCTTTGCCAAAATCCCGAAAAATGGCCGACCAATTAACCCACTAACGGTGCAAAAATCGGCCGATTTTCAACCCGTCTGTGGCCGGCATTAGTCTTCTCGCAGTATAGGACCGTTTTTAGGATATCGGTCGTAGGGAGCTTGCTGGTGGTTTTTTTTTTTTTTTTTAATATTATTATTATTATTATTTTTTTTTTTTTTTGGCATTTACATATATATATTGTATCATGTAATCACGCTGAATCATAAATCTGAATAATCTGTAATCAATCACCATCCAAATCATTCTTTCTGTCACTTTTTTTTATACCTTTTTTTTTTTACTTTAAGAGAAAAAAATGGTCCGGTTGTATTTGGAAACCAATTACATTAAGAAAAAAAAAAAATGTCGATCAAATCAAATTTGGTCATCTCATGCGATCTGAATTGCAACCCGCATCCATAAGAATCTGATTTCTCGTTCCAAGCAACGACCATTTTTTTTTTTTTTTTTTTTTTTTTTTATCTTAAGGCAGCCATATGAGCCGAAATTTTTTGCCTTTATTTTCTGTGATCAAAATACGAGCTTTGATACTTTGTTTTTTTTTTTGTTTTTTTTTGTTTTTTTATGTACTTCTTTTTTTTTTTTTTTTTTTTTCCGATGTGAGCAGCGGGCACTGTTTTTTTTTTAGCTTGAATTTTGAATTAGATTGCATAATGTTTATAAGCGGCTTACTCTTTTATTACTGTACTTGTTTAGTGGTAACGTCACATTTTAATTCAATTGTCGGATACACACCTTTAAAGGACTTCTACCTCCTAATTTTACGATATAAACAAAAGACGCTTCCGTACAGACTGTCGCGCAAGACTTTGTGAACCCAGCCAAAGATGTTTTTTTTTTTTCTTTAATTTCTGTTGCCCACAAAATTTGTTTTTCCTTTTTTCTGTGAACTTTATTTTTTTTTTTCCCTTGACACTGATGCTGAGATATTTTTTTTAAAAAATTAAACAAAATGAAAAAAAATTTGAAAAAAAAAATAAATAAAAATTGAAAAAAAATTAAAAAAAAAATTTTAAGTGATGTAAAAAAATTGAAAAAAAAAGAAACAAATTCTAAAAAAAAATTTAAGTGATGTAAAAATTTGAAAAAAAAAGAAAAAATTTTTTTACGTGATGTAAAAAATTAAAAAAAAAAGAAACAAATTCAAAAAAAATTTTAATTGATGTAAAAATTTGAAAAAAAAAGAAAAAAAAAATTTTACGTGATGTAAAAAATTTAAAAAAAAAAGAAACAAATTCAAAAAAAATTTTTAATTGATGTAAAAAATTGAAAAAAAATAGAAAAAAATTCTAAAACATTTTTTGAAGTGATGTTACCCAAGCAAGGGCTTCTAATAAAGGAGTGGCCCCTTCACCCATCCTTCCCTACATGTGCAAGTTCTGCTCACATCAGTTTCCTTCCATCCAATTAGGCGACCTGGGAGACCCAGCCAGCACCGTCCAGATGGACTTCCACGCAGTGGTGATGGGGTGCCCCCAAGAAGTTCGCTGGATGCAACCAGGGAAACTTATGGCCACTCCACGCCCCTAAAAGTGCCGTTGGCCCGCTCCTTGCAGATTAGCGAGGAACTGCAGAACCGAAAGCAGTTTTCTTCGTCCGGCGGCCACGGTTCACCGGGACTGCAGAACCAAGGACAGCATTATATCCTCTCCAGGGAAGCGTCCTGGGCGAAGTCGCACTACGAATTAAATTTTGGCCGCATGAAATATAGGGGCAACGGGGCGCTCAGCAACATCAGTGACCTGCCTTTTCTCACAGAAAATTCGAACGCCTTTCCCAAAAACCTCCCCACCAAACACGAAATCAAAAAGGAAACGGGAATTTCCTCTCCGGTCGATTTAAAAATCCCGCAGGTGCGCGGCATGGACCTGTCGTGGGAGTCCCGCGCCGGGGACCTGTACAATTACAACTCTTTGGTCCTGGGTTCACAAACCGAGAGCGCGCTCAGCAAAAAACTAAGGACTATCCTCCCAAAGCAAAACCGGAGAAACGCCGCGTTGGATTCCAGCGCCGCCGCCGACTCCTGGAGCTCGGACGTCGAGCAGTCTACCTCCGGGCAGCCCTACCCAACGTCGGACCAAGAAGGGGACCCGGGCTCCAAGCAGCCGAGGAAAAAAAGAGGGCGCTACAGGCAGTACAACAGCGAGATCTTGGAGGAAGCCATCGCCGTGGTGATGAACGGCAAAATGAGCGTTTCCAAAGCGCAGAGCATTTACGGGATCCCGCACAGCACGCTGGAGTACAAAGTCAAGGAGAGGCTAGGCACGCTAAAAAACCCTCCAAAGAAAAAAATGAAACTCATGAGGCTGGAGGAACCGGACGCGGCGGGAAAAAGCGAACCGGAACCTCAGGAGGAGGCCGAGGCGTCCCCAAGTGCAAACGATTCAAAAGACGACTAGGCATGCCGTAAAGTCCCACTTTTTAACGAGTTGTACCGAAAACTGGGCGTTTTTTTTTTTTTTTTTTTTTTGGCGCACTCCACACCTGTTGTAACCTGTAGAAGGCGGTTTCTTTTTTTTTTTTTTTTTTTTTTAATTTTTTTTTTTTTTTTGGAAACGGGTGGAAAAAAAAAATTGTAATTGCTCAAAATTGGGCAATTTTTTTTTTTTTTTTTTTTGTAAATTCCTCTTGCCCAGTGCAACCCTTTCGAGTACTTTTGGCCTTTACGCATGCTCTTTTATTTTCAATAGAAAAAAAAAATTGTTACCTCAACAAGAGAACCTATACATGTCAATACGGACTCTTTTGCTATTGAGCCTTGCATGTATTGCGTTCTTTATATCTATTTTAATTCCTTGAACACACGTCCACTTTAAAAAAAAAAAACAAAAAAAAACAAAAAAAAAAAAAACGTTTTCAGGAGTCTCTTAAATATATACAACCAATGTCTAGGGGAGAGAGAGAAAAAAAAAACCTTCTAAAGATATTTAAAACAATTTTTTTTTTTTCTCTTTACGTTAGATTTTAAGTGTTTATGCCAAAATGATTATTTCTGAAAAATTGAATGTACCTCACAAAATGTGATTATTTTTTTTTTTTTTTTCTTTTTTTGGGAGTTGCTACTATTTTTCGGAGACTTAAAGGCTTTAGTTCAGAGTGGGGGGGGAAAATGTGCGAAGAGCACAAAAAATGTGAGCGGCCGGGCCTGAAAAAAAAAAAAAAGGCCGTACTTTGCTAACCTACAAAAAAAAAAATGAGTATTACACTAGAGCTTTACATTTCTTACACGTAAAAGAATTGTCAGACTGGGGGGCAATGTTTGCCCTGCGCTGGCAGGAAGCTTGGAAGCATTTGAAAGGATTTTTTTTTTTTTTTTTTTGTATTTAATTTTTTTTTTTTTTTTTTATATGGTCCAGATATTTTATCCTCATTACACTCCAGCAAGTACATGTGCATGTAATTTAAAGAGGATGGACTGTGGACTCTTTATAGATGGCTATTCTATAGATCTCATTACCTTTTTTGTATATTTTTTTTTTTATTTTTTTTTGGGCTTCTACCTGCCATTCTGGGTACAGGGAGGAAAAAAATATACACACTACCTTCAGATTTATTTTTTAAAAATAACACGCAATCTGTATAATGGATTGACGGGGTAGGGTATAGCCTTATCACTAGACTAGTGCTCTTTTTTATTTTTTATTTTTTTTTTTTTTTTTCGTTTACACACAGTAACTCCACCGGAAAAAAAAAAAAAAAATTCCACATCCGGAAATTTTTTTAACTTGATTTTATAGCTACTTAACTGTGTGGTTTCCACATCCACTCCAGAGATCAGGGGTCACATTTTAGCCGTTGCGATATCAGGTGCATATTTTATTTCTTTACCAGTACAAACCTCATTTTATATTCCAGTTTTCAGGAATGAAGGACGCTCCTTTTAGGGCCTAGCGGGTCTGTTTTAGAATAGCATTTGCTGTAAAAAAAAAAAAAATATAAAAATGTTTTTGTTGTGTTACAGAGATAAACTCGGTACGGTGTAGCTCGTTGCGAGCTTTGCGCCTATCTTCAGGTAACTGTTTTTTATAAGCACTCCACAAACCACACAGTTTTGTACATTTTTTATAGATTTTTCTCGATGGTCCACGAGGAGCTTGCATTTTTTTTTTTGTTTTTTTTGCTTTTTTTTTTTTTGTTTTTTTTTTGTGTCGCAGACATGCTCTTAAAAAAAAAAAAGAGAGTTGCACCGTTTGTAAAACCTCTTGAAAATAATGAAAACACTATTTTTGTTGAATATTCTTTATACTTGGTAAGCAGTGCTAAATGTAAAAAGATAAGTTGATGCTTATAAAAAAAAAAATGGCGGCTCAGCTTGCCACGCTGCACTGCTGCGTTAAATAGGTAAATTCTTTGCTAGCCCTTTTCTATTCTGTGTAGGCGTTTTTCTTTTTCTTTTTTTTTTTAAGTGTAAAATAGTATTTTTTTATTTAAATACATTAATGAGTAGGCACACATTTTGCATATTGCTTTTGCAGTAAAACTCTGAATTAAAATTCAGACCTTATAAGGGGCAGAGCCTTAAAATGTTGCGTTTGGCGTAAAATTCAAATATTTCTGCATACCTGCTGCTTTTTTTTTTTTCATACAAAGTGTCATTTTAAGCCCAAAACCTGTTCAGTTTTTTTATGTGAACCTGGTTTGCGGCCATTCTGCCATTTGTTATCGAAGTCTGTTTGCATAAATTGAGTTTTTTTGTTAAATTAGGAATTGAAATATTTCCAAATGACAAATTTTACAGTTTTTAACAAAATACAATTTAAGAAAATAGAGTTTAAAATTTAACAAAACACAATTTATAATTTGACAAAAAACTTTTATAATTTGACCAAATACAATTTATAAATTAACGAAAAACCTATAATTTGACCAAATACAATTTATAATTTGACAAAAAACTATAATTTGACAAAATATAATTTATAATTTGACAAAAAACTATTTATAATTTGACCAAATACAATTTATAATTTGATGAAAAACTATAATTTGACCAAATACAATTTATAATTTGACAAAAAACTATTTAAATTTGACCAAATACAATTTATAAATTACAAAAAACCTATAATGTGACCAAAATACAATTTATAATTTGACCAAATACAATTTATAATTTGACAAAAAACTATAATTTGACAAAATACAATTTATAATTTGACAAAAAACTATAATTTGACCAAATACAATTTATAATTTGACAAAAAAACTGTAATTTGACGAAAAACTATTTATAATTTGACAAAAAAAAGTTTATAATTTGACAAAAAACTATTTATAATTTGACCAAATACAATTTATAATTTGACGAAAAACTATAATTTGACCAAATACAATTTATAATTTGACAAAAAAACTATAATTTGACAAAATATAATTTATAATTTGGCAAAAAACTATTTATAATTTGACCAAATACAATTTATAATTTGATGAAAAACTATAATTTGACCAAATACAATTTATAATTTGACAAAAAACTATTTATAATTGACCAAATACAATTTATAATTTGATGAAAAACTATAATTTGACCAAATACAATTTATAATTTGACAAAAAAACTATTTATAATTTGACCAAATACAATTTATAATTTGACAAAAAACTATAATTTGACCAAATACAATTTATAATTTGACAAAAAAACTATAATTTGACAAAATACAATTTATAATTTTGACCAAATACAATTTATAATTTGACAAAAAACTATAATTTGACAAAAAAAATTTATAATTTTGACAAAAAACTATAATTTGACAGAAAACTATTTATAATTTGACAATAAAACAATATATAGTTTGACAAAAAAAACAATTTATAATTTGACAAAAGAACAATTTATAATTTGACAAAAAATTATTTATAATTTAACAAATACAATTTATAATTTGACAAAAAACTACTTATAATTTGACAAAAAAACTATTTATAATTTGACAAAAAACTATAGTTTGACAAAATACAATTTATAATTTAACAAAATACAATTTCAAATTCATCAAAATACTATTGACCGTTTTACTAAATACAATTTTTTACAAATGTATTCATTTCAAATTAATTTGTTTTCAATTGTTTAAATTATGAAGGTCACACCTTTTATATGTATTATAAAGGTCAAGCAGTATTTTTTTTTTTCACAATACGTTAAAAATCTAGCAAATTCTGCTAGATGATAAATGGTGGATAATTACCACAATCCATGTTTACTTTTATTATTTAAAAATCGCTTTCAAAGCTGACAGACGCTGTATAGGTATTTGCATTTTTTTTTTTTCAGATGGATCGATGGCATGGTATGCATTAATGTTTGTTTTTTAGATCTTTTATGTCAATGACTAGTGTGGCCAGGCACACCACAATGGGCAAACCTCAAATGTAAGTCATGAAACTGGTGAAAATGTTTCTGATTTGCAGTCCTAAATTTCCATAAAAGGTAAATTGTGTAAAATCTGTATTATAATTATTATTATTATTCAGGATTTATATGGCGCCAACAGTTTGTGCTCTACAATATAAAGGGAGGCAGTACCCGTCCGAGAGGGTTAGGAGGGCCCTGCTCCATATGAGCTTACAATCTAAAAAATATTTATTTTTTTTTATTTTTATTTTTTTATTATATTTTTTTTTTTAATATATGAAGACCCCATTTTTCGGCAGTTGGTGTTGTCCGTACGCACATTGTACTTTATGCATGGCCAATCCATTTTATTCGCTCCTGAACCGACTGCGCAGGGTACAATCTGATTGCATGATCGGTTTTTGGATTCTCCGATAATATAGAGCCTGAGAAAATTTGGGTAAAATTTTTTGAATTTTGTGGCGGCCTTTGATTGAGAGCCGGGGCCTCCAAATGACGACCCGCGGGGCTCATCCGGTTCTATCCAGCCCACGGCTAGAGGCAGGGGCCTATCCTCAATGGTGGGGGGGACCCTAATTATAAAGGGGGACTCTGGTGGAGACCCTGATCTAGGAGGTCACTCAGATGGGGACGCCTGATTTGGAAGGGGACTCAATGTAAGGGGGGGGGTTGGCTTGATGGGGACCCTGATGTAAGGGGACAATTTGATGGGCACACCTGATTGGGGAGGGGACCCTGATGTAAGGGGGCACCCTGGGGGACACTTGATTGGGGAGGGGATTCTGATGTAAGGAGGCACCCTGGGGACATTTGCTTGGGAGGGGACCCTGATGTAAGGAGGCACCCTGGGGACATTTGATTGGGGAGGGGACCCTGATGTAAGGTGAAATTCTATTGGGGTCTCTGATGTAGGGGGCACTTTGATGGGGACTTCTGATTAGGAATGGGACTCAATGTAAAGAAGGAACCCTGATGGGGACTGTGATTTGAGGGGGTACTCTGGAAGCACTTAATTGGGGAGGGGACTCAGTGTAA